GACTTGTTTATTCCCATCTCCTTTCCTTCTTGGGATGTCTGACTCCTGAGCCCAGAGCTATGGCTACCCTCCTTGTTCTTTAGGTACAGCACCTTTCCTTTTGATCCTGCATCTGCCTCCTGATGTTCTCTGCATATCTTTATTCCGGCCCTTTATAGCCCAGGCACTTGAGAGGTTGCCTTCAGTGCCTTGAGAAGTGTGCCACATTGCCCTGAAGGTGGTAGAGATCTGGTTATAGAGTTCATTTATCTGCCCTCTGAGGAACTTTCCTAAACACCCTGCTACCCTCTGAGGCCTGGCAAATGATGCTCCTTTTGTCTAAAGTTTTTACCTGCTTTGTATACATTGGCTTGACTTCTGCTCAATTTTCCAAACTCCACTCAGAAAAAAAAAAATCTCAGGAAGCCTGACCTTTTCCCAAATGTCCAGGTGATAACTACATCTGACTTTGCTCCCATAACTCCCTGAGCTTTCTTCTTCCTGTGCTCGATGGACCCTTCCCTGTCCTGACATGTAATGCATCTTAGACCCCAGAAGTCAATGAGGACCTGTGCAGGGTGGCTCATCGCCCTTTACCTACCTGTCCTAGGCATGTGATGGAGTAAGGAATATTTATTAAATGAACAAATCAGTGCTAACGAATCTATGAACATACTTCTTTGTCCAGATGTTGGCTTTACACTTGCAAATATATTTTTTTTAAACTTACATTTACAGGCTGGGGAGATGGCTCAGTGGGTAAATTGTTGTCTGTGTAAACATGAGGAACTGAGTTCAGACCTCAGGAACCCACAGAAAAGCTGTATACAGTGGCATGTATCTGTAACCACAGCACTGGGGTGGAGCACAAGTAGCAGGAACTTGAGAGCCAGTCTAGCTGAAACCAGGGAAAGCACATTCACTGAGAGATTCTGCCTCTAAATACACACACACACACACACACACACACACACACACACACACACACACACAAAAGACCTTTTGCTTTTTCAGGTGCATACATGACTGAGCACACCCCCAGACAAAATTTAACACTCACATACACCACAGCATGTACACACACACACACACACACACACACACACACACACACACACACACACACACTTCAAATAAAAGGCAAAATGGACATTTGAATATGCAGAATGGGCCAAACATTTGAATAACAAGCCTCATGGACCAAAGATACGCATAGAAAACAATAAACCATGTATCCTATTTGAGCTAGAAAAGATGGATTCACTAAGGGATAATCCACTTAATGCTGCCGCTGACTACATGGTGAGGAGGTTCATGTGTTGTGGAGGGAGAGGAAACTGGTGCTCTTCTGTAGAATAATTTGGGAACTCGTGTCAGGGTCTTTATAAAATGCATAGGGCCCTCCAGGCATTTCCCTACACTCACACCCCAGGAAAAGGGTTGTACACGAGCAAGACTTAGGTTTGAAGTTTACTCAGTAGTATCTTAAACAAACATTAACAAGAGTTAAGAGCATATGAGGAATGCGGAGTAGACAGGACTGCTCAATATATAATGTTGGCAGAAACACGTCCCTGGCATGAAAAGGAGGATATGGGGTGCCCCAGGCCCTGGCCACTGACATCCATGAGGCTGTCATCCCTCCATGCTGTAGTTTTTCACTTGTATAGTGGAGGGAGATCATGGTACCAGCACAGAGCTTAGGCCTGTGGATTAAATAAAAAGGAAGAGTGGAAAGCAGCTCACTCATGGGAACAGGCAAGTAGTACTCCCTACTGTCAGTGACAGACAGTGGGGATAGCTTTTCTATTCTATTCCGAAACTGCAGATGACGTCTGGGTGCTGCTGTGTCTGGGGAGAATGGCCTGGATGATCCTGTCCCCAAGCCAACAGTCCAGTCTCTGAGCTCAGCTTTCCCCCTGTGGCAGCTGAGTATTAACTTTCTTTTCATTCTTCCCTCCCTCCCTCCCTCCCTCTGTCCCTCCCTCCCTTCCTCTGTTCCTCCCTCCCTCCTCTTCCTCCCTCCCTCCCTTCCTCTCTCCCTCCTTTCCTCCCTCTCTTGCTCCTTCCCGTCTTCCCTCCCTTCCTTCCCCTCATCTATCAGCATTAACTGTGTTGCTTTTTGCTAGGTTTTGTACTTGTCACCAGGGCTACAGAATTCACTAAGACCCCTTCCCCACCCTTAAAGAGCTCCCTTGACACCAGGGACACACACTCATGGGTAGCTGGTTATAGCATGGTTCCTTGTCAGACTCTGTGAAAACAGACATGCTTAAACTTCAAGTAGGGGTATAGCCAGCTTCAGATTGCCACTAATTTCACAGGGAGGTGCAGGGTTGGAGGAGCCCTCCAAGCATAAGCCTTCTGCCCTCTAGAAGGTTACAAGACATGTGGGAAGAGGGGTCAGTCTGTGAACAAAATTCAGATGACCCATCTCCCTCGAATGAATTATGGGGAGATACAGGTCCTGAATAGAATCCCTTAGTCATTGGCTGACCCTGGCTTGTCCCCATCCCTACCAAAGGGCTGAAGGTTTGCAGACTAGACTCAGGAGTGCCTGGACTCAGTATCCATGGAGATGACGCTCAGAATGACATGCCTTCGAGTTTCAGGCTATGTGATCCTGACTCCACCATTGCTAGGTGCGGCGCGCTCCTCGGCCAGCGAGGAAGAACGACCACCATGCGAGGATCCGTCTCAGAACACACTTTATTGGAGCGCCTCTTGATTAAGGGAG